TATTTCATTGCAGAACGTGTGAGTAAATTAGATGACAGCCTCGATCTAAAGCACTTCAACACAAACATGTACATGCAGCAGGTTATAGCTCTGATTAAAATCATTAGGGGATGTTAATGAAGGAAGTGCTAAATAAATAGAACCAGTTTAATTCCTCCTGTAATGCCAGGGAGGAGGGTGGAATGATACCAACAATGAAACTTGGTCAATTAAATTGCAAGATGAAAGAGAACTGAGAGCTGGAATGTGCATATCATGCTGTTCAGAGATTTAAGGTGATTTTGCAAACAGCAAGCAAAAAGAGTTTCATCATTTTGGGAAGTTATATGTGCTTGAAATTGGGGCTGCTTAGTGATTATGACTTCATGTGTATAATGTGCTCAGAACCCCCCAGGCAATCTGAAACATCGTATAAAAGGAGCAGGGACGTGGAGTTATTCCATCTCCTTCTCCTGCCTCTACAACAGGTACGTCTGATGCCATTTCATTTCTTTCTAAATTCCAAAAATGCTTTTGCACTGGGGCTTCGAATGCTGCTCACTAATACAACATTAGAGCTTTTAGCACTATTATTTTTAATTATCTTTATTTTTCTTCTCTTTTTAATTTTTTTTTTTGTTTAATATGTTAGCAAGTTGTGTAGGTTTAAGGAGCCAGGATCAGGGTCTAATACATTTATTTCGCTGTAATTCATATTTGGGCATTCTTGTATTGTTAACAGATGAAAAATGTAGGATGATAGAAGCTTTAAAATGCAGAATTCTCCTGTGTCATTTCAATGACTGAAGCAGAGACACGGACAGATCTGAAGCTTTTTAATGACCCAGCTGAAAAAAAAAAAGAGCATTATTTAAATGGGAATTTTATTGCAGAATAATGCTAGCTTGTATTTAGTTTTGATGGATAGGTTAAAAACTAAATCCTGTTTATTTTAAACCCTAGTTATTTTCACCAGAGACGATATTAAGGGAAGTAGACTGGTGGGCTGATCCAGTGTGTTTGTCATATGCTCATTTGAAAATCCAGATCCAGATTAGCTGTTCAGATAAATTGAGTTCAGTGATTTGATTCTCTGCATTTCAGGGCTAATTTCTGAACAAAATAATATTTATTTCTTTTTTTTAACTGGAAAAACTTCTAAGCCACAAGTTTTTGTGACCAGATATTTAGCTGAAACAGTAGTTCACAAATTCTATTTTCATCTGATGAAGGAAATCAGCTCCTTACATTTTACCAACCTGCTCCACACTCTGTATGAAATTACACTGCTATGCCAAGAAATATTTGGATAGGCATATTTTATAGGGTATATTTATTTATTACATCAAATATATGAATTTATCCTCAGACTCAAATGCTTTGGGACATTTTCCAGAGGGGTTGCAGAGATTAAGAGAATATAGAATAAAAAGGAAACAACGGAAAGTGTATTACCCCAAAGAAAAGAAACAGGGACCAGGAAAGGAGGAGGGAATGTGTGGTTGAAGCAGAGCAGGGTTCTTGACTCCAACTCATCATCTCTCCCAAGAGAAAACCTGCTGCTGTCGCAGTTGGTGGAACCAGGAGGTCAGCTACAGTGCAGATCCCACAGCACCTACCTTACAACCCACATTCACCAAGGAGGAGAGCTGGTGTTTGAGTAAAAAAATGTGCCACCCACACTCTGTTCCTCTGGGAGGGAACGTGAATTAAATATATATTAAAAAAAAAGGAATCAGCCATTTCAGAAGGCTTGGTGGATGTGACAAGTACAGGGATTACTGGGATTACTGGATGGGGAAGATCAGAGGGATGTTGCTTGACAGGGAAGTTCATGAACAGCGTCATCAATTTTGCTGATGCATCCAGTGATCATTTTGCCTCTTAGAATCATTGAATGGTTTGGCTTTGGAAGGGGCCTGAAAGCTCATCCAGTCCCAACCCCTCTGCCATCAGCAGGGACACCTTCCACTAGACCAGGTTGCTCAAAGACTCATCCAACCTGGCCTTCAACACTTCCAGAGAGGAACATCCACAGCTTCTCTGGCCAACCTGGTGTCTCACCACCCTCAACAACCCAGCACCAAACCTTGACCTGTTGTTCCAGTAGATCTTGCACTTGGTTTTTACACAACTCTGTGCTCTCTCTTTCAGGATCACCTTCATCCCTGCAAAAGAAATGTCTTGCTACGACCTGTGCCCCACCACCAGCAGCATCACCTGCCCCCAGCCCATCGCTAACAGCTGCAATGAGCCCTGTGTCCGCCAGTGCCCTGACTCCACCGCTCTGATCCAGCCACCTCCTGTTGTTGTCACCTTCCCCGGCCCCATCCTCAGCTCCTTCCCCCAGCAAGCCGTGGTGGGCTCCTCCGGAGCACCTGCCTTTCCGGGCTCCCTGGGGCTGGGGGGTCTCTACGGCTCTGGGAACCTCTATGGTTATGGAGGTTCTCTGGGATATGGGTCCCAGTATGGATATGGGAGTTCAGCTCTCTCCCCGCTCGGCAGTGGGTACTGCAGCCCCTACTCCTCCCGCCGCTACAGCCGGTTCCTCCGCAGCAGCTGTGGGCCCTGCTAAAGGCAGCAGAGAAATCTCAGAAGAACCACAAGTGAAGACCCAAATGCAGCGCAATGAGGATGGAGGTTCAGTGTTCCTGCAGCTCTGCAGTGGAGTTTCCACCACTCAGCATTTCTGATCTTTCTTCTACTTTTATGTTCACCCTTCAATTTCTAGTTTGATGTTTGCTATCATTGCCTGTTCCAGCTTTCCCATTATTTTTTATTTTAACCATCATGGGACAACCTATTCCATATGGACATCAACTCCTAATGAGACGTATCTTCAACAGCACAACAGACAGAAGAAATCCAGTTGAGGACAGCAGGACATTGGTTGAACATTCTCTGAAACTGTTTGGAAATGGATTTTTTTCCTAACTCTGTGATTTCTTGCTTTGCAAACATAGGCATTTCTTGCTCATTAAAATTTTGTTGCATCACACAGCAAGCTTCTGGTTTCCCTTCCTCCCTTCATCTACAGCCTCCCCTGGCTTATATCTTCTCATGGGTAGGACCAAGCTGCTAACTAAGAAGTTGTACTCCAAAATATTTTCACACAGATTGAATTTACACAGGGTGACAAATGTTCCTGTAAGGACACCCCTGAGTAGCTCTTTTCCAGCCTTTGAAGATGTGAAAAATTTAAAATAACAGAGTATCTTAATTCCTGTTATTTAAACAGGATTTCAGTGGGGTCTTTCCATCAGCATCCAAACAAGAGAATTTGGGGTTTCTACCATAAATGCCACCAAGGTGGTGCTCAGCAGAGAACGAGTGGAAATGGTCTCAAATTGAGCCAAGGGGGGTACAGAACAGATGTCAGGAAAAATTTCTTCCCTGAAAGGGTTCTCAGGCAGTGGAATGGGCTGTCTAGAGAGGTGGTTGAGTCCCCATCCCTGAAGGGATTTAAAAGTCAGGTAGGTAGATGAGATGCTCAGAGTTATGGTTTAGTAGTGGACAGGTACAGTTGAACTCGATGATCTCAAAGGTCTTTTCCAACCAAATGATTCTATAATTCTATAATTTTATTCTATAAATTCCCAGATGTGATGTTCAATCTACAGCACTGACATTCCTCAGCAATACTTAAACTCCAGATAACCCCAGCAACTGATACGTTGCTCTTATTCCTCCTTCCAGTTATCAGACTTTCCATCCCAGTAAGAAAAAAAGAATAATCCCTGTTCCCTCGAAGAAATAACTGTAGCACAGTATCAGGAGCAGCAGTGACTCAGTGGTTCTACTCTGTTGGTAATCTATCTGCAAGCAAATTGTAATGAAGCTGCTAAATGAGGCGTGTTCAGTGCTGTGCAAACAAAGAATAAAGCCAAGCCCTGCCCTCAAGTGCTTTCAGAGCAAATCGACAGGACAAGCAACACATCAGCATCATTCTTCTTTTCCCTTATTTGCAGATAGATATCTTGTGTATACAAAGATTAAAGGTTGTGTATTACATACTGATAAAACCAAGAGTTTGGAGGTGCTGGAGCGTGTCCAGAGAAGGGCAACGGAGCTGGGGAAGGGTCTGGAGCACAAGTGTGCTGAGTTCCCTTGTGGCTGAGGGAACTGGGGTTGTTGAGCCTGGAGAAAAGGAGGCTGAGGGGAGACCTTGTGGCTCTGTCCAAGTCCCTTGGAGGAGGGTGGAGAGAGGTGGGGGTGGGTCTGTTCAACCAAGGAACAAGGGACAGGACAAGAGGAAATGGGCTGAAGTTGTGTCCAGGGCAGTTGAGATGGGATGTGAGGAAGAATTTCTTTACTGAAAGGGTTCTGAGGCACTGGAAGGGGTTGCCCAGGGCAGTGGTGGAGTCCCCATCCCTGGAGGGATTGAAGAGTTGTGTAGACACAGTGCTGAGGGACATGGGTTAGTCAGGGACTTATCAGTGTTGGGTTCATGATTGGACTTGATCATCTTAAAGGGCTTTTCCAATCGAGGCCATTCTGGGATTCTGTGATCCTGTAAATAGTTTCCCCAGCTGACAGAGGAATCACTTGGCAAAGCCCTGGGACCTGGGACAGGGAGAATTTCAGTAACACCAACTTACATGCTAATATTGAAATTTGCCTGTAATCTGGGCCAGTACCCTGACTGCTACGTGTGAGTCAATAATGATGGTGTTGAAAATAGCCTTTTTTTTTTTTCCAGGCAGAACTCTGAAAATGAGATTGATCAAACCAACATATTTTCATGGAATTCTGCTTATTTTATCTGAAAGACTGAACATCACATGGCCAGTAGGATACAGGACATAGGAAAATTAATAGATCACAGAATCATGGAATGGTTTGAGATGGAAAGAACTTTTAAAGCTTGTCTAGTCCAACCCTCCTACTCACTTTGCTAAATCCTCCAGAATCAAACCCTGGCAGGAAGCTGGCATTCAACAGGACATATTTCTGGTTCTGTTATGTTGAGCCATCGTGCCTGTAGGCTATTTACCAGTGGTGTGAGTTTGAACCACGTTAAAAAAACCATTAGGCTCCAGTAAGTGACTAAATATTTAGTGAATCCACCTATTTAAATTAAGCATGAAAGGCTTAACGCCCACAGATATCTGTCTTGAACTGTAATTTAGTGTGTGGGGAGGACATAGACTTCAGGCTGTGTTTACAACGTCTTTATGAATCAGCTTCTGATTGCATCTCGTTTACCAACAGTGTTACCTGGTACCAGGATAGAAACACGTGCTCAGAGAACATTTAGTCAAGGTAGAGGAGACTGTAGTGACCTCTATGGTTCAAGATGAGACTGTGATTTAATTTATTGCTGATTCCTTTTCTTGGTAGTTGTTTCACTGATGGGAGGAATAGGAGTTTGAGTTGCTAGTGCTGTCAACAGCCTGGACTTCCCATGGTTGACCAAGAACTGCAGGAGATCTCAGAGTCAGATGTGGTCTCCATGTTGCATTGGCCAGAAAACTGTCAAGATCTCAGAACTGCTTCCAGATTATCACAGAATCCCAGAATTGCCTCCATCAGAAAAGGCCTTTAAGATCATCAAGTCCAACCATGAACCCAACACTGACAAGTCCCCCTATGACCCCCCCATGTCCCTCAGCACTATGTCTACACGACTCTTCAATCCCTCCAGGGATGGGGACTCCACCACTGCCCTGGGCAACCCCTTCCAATGCCTCAGAACCCTTTCAGCAAAGAAAATCTTCCTCACATCCAATCTCAACTGCCCTTAGGGCAACTTGAGGACTTTTCCTTTTGTCCTAAAATATGATAAACAGCAGCTGGTGTTCCTCCCACCTCATATCTATATGTGGTGTGACCTGACATGTGTTGGGTCTACCAGTGAAATTAGTTCTGTCATCTCCTAGTGTGTTCATCTGTGATTACACTTACATTAAAGTGTAATCCAAGTTCAGGCTGGAGAACTTGCATCTTCTCCTGCATTGGAGAGACAGAAAGCATGAAAACAAGACAAAATCTCCAGACACATCCTAACAAGAAAGAAGTGTTACCTGGCTACCTCATTGTAGCCTCATCCCATTTCACCTAGTTTTACAAGTGAAGTCACACCTCCAAACCCTTTGAAGTTATTACCACATCCTTGATCCTGTCCAAACAAATTTTCTACAGCGTGAGACCAAAGTTTGCCTGGAATCATCCTGCTCAAGTGTTGTGAAGTTTGTCAGTGCTTTGCTGGTCTTCTTAGCAACAGCAGTTTCATACAAGGAAGAGCAGAAGTGCTGAGCAGTATCTGATCCATCAGAGTCCTGGTTGGTCATTGCAAGCACAGGATGGGGTGAATACCTCTTAATAGTGGATGCAAATGGCATCACTAGAAAAACAGGTCTACAGGAGATACTGAGCAGCTTGGAACCGTGTTGTGGTTGAACAAAGAGAAGTCTTGAACATGCCCAGTATCCATAATCATTTGTGAGTAGCTTGAAAATTAAGTATAAAGTTCCTGAGATGGAAAATATTATCTGGCCTGAATGTGTCGCTCTGCAGGGAAGACTTAAGAATTATTCTTTTATTTCTTTTACCCGGGGTTGCCAAGAATTTTGAGTTGTTAAGAGGAAAGTTCAAAGAACTCTTCGAATTTCAGAGCAAAGATTTGCCACTTGGTTAAAAATTCCTGTTGGCTATTCAAAGGAAAGTTCTACCCACAAATCATTACATCCTATTTTTAAACAATGAAAAATATCATCAAACCAATGTACAGGGATGTAATTAAATTGGAGCCTGAAACAATTAGTGAGACACAGGGAAGATCTTCAAAGTTACTCGCGTGTTTAACTTTCTTTGCTTGACTTGGAGCAAATACACACTGTAACCACACCTGTCCTGGAGGAAATCTCAAACATAGTTTTAAGGGGTTACAAAACATGTTTACCCAGCATGAAATGACTTTTCTGCAGAAGGCAGTCATTATGCATGCTCCTGCTTAAAGGGTTGGGTCACCTTCTGATTTTGGGTGTTGAAAGAAAGCAAACACTGTTGTGTTTCACTGCAGAGATTGATGCTCACCCAGAATGGTATATAAACAAGGAATGGTGGAGAAAAATAAAAATAATGATTAAAAAAAGACCAGAAAGCTCAGTATTTTGATGCACAATAATTTAATGAAAAGGGAAGAAGTAAAAGATCTCACAGAGAATGAAAAACACAGGGAAGATATTGCCAGGGTTTCATTAAAGGCTGCAAGCAAAGAATTGCTCCAGGGCTAAGCATTCCACTTCCATTTTTACGTATGTACACATACACTCCTTCATTTTCCTGGCATGGGAAGACTGACACGATCTCATCCCACTTTCAACCAGCCAAACATCATTGACATAACTAATTTGAGGACATTATTAGCAGGAACCACTGGAAAGAATACTCAGAAAAATGATATTAAATCATTAGCTTGAGAATCACGTGTGATTTTCAGAGATGCACAGGTCATGTTCCAGGAAAGCAATGCCAGTAACAGGGTTTGTGGAGACACATCTTCCTCTGTGTTGGTTGATTGCTTCCTTGCTCCTTATTTATTGCACATTTAACATGGTCTGCAGCTCCCAAAACCATAACCACTGAATCCATAGGAAGAATATGACCTCCCATAATTGTACAAGCTCCTAGAGGTGTAGGAGCCACTGGAACCCAGAGAGCTCATGGATCCAGAGAAGCTCCTGATGCTGGATGGTGCTGAGCTGCCCACGATGCTCTCCTGAGGGCAGGAGCTGAGAATGGGTCCTGGGAAGGTCATGACCACGGGTGGTGGGTAGATGACAGCTCTGGAATCACCACAGGAGGTAACACAGGGTTGGTTGCAGGCATTTACAAACGGCTGTGGGCAGGTCACTTGGCAGGGCACAAGGCAGCGGGAGCTGATCATCTGTCTGTAGGAAGACATCTTCTGGGAATGGAGATAAATCTGGAACACACAACACCGAGGTAAGACAAGGCTGAAAGCTCAGACACCAATATAATGGAGATTGGGCTTGGAAGAGAAAGAATAAGAGATAGCAAGAAAACCAGAAGGAAAATGAAGATTTCAGCTTTGTCTCAGCAGCCACGTCCCTTTTGTCACCTTCTCATGCCCTTCTCCTCTCCTTCAGAACAACCTTTTCTTCTGGCTCCTAATTACAGAGCCAATTTAATACATAAAAACATCATTAACAATCAAAGAAATTGTGTGTTTGAACTCCAGTTATCCCTCTATCCTTTACTATTTCTATTTTCCATCATTCCTTTTTGATTCTGACTTATTATGACTCGTGATTATGTTTTAAATACATAATTGTAGAAAAGAACAGAAACGCTGGCTGGTGCTTCTATAGTAAGATCCTGGTTCTGCACCACCTGTAATCATTACAACTGCATGAAGATGAAGCAAGTCATTGTTATTCCAGCTTTAAGGAAGAGGTAACTGAGGCTGAGAAGTGAATGCATTGCCCGGAGCTATTTGGTGAGGTAATAGGAGAGATGGAATTAAAATTCAGGCAAGCCTGGTTGTTCATACCAATGTTCTTCCCTGATCTTTTGGGTGCCACAGCTGGCACCAGGGCTGCTCTGCTTGTTCTGAATATATATAAAATGAGCAGCAACCACATTCGTGAAGAACTCATAAAGAATTTGCTTGGCAGAATATCCCACATTGGGGTGGGAATGCCGTATTGGTGAGGTTTCCAGTATAATTAGGACTCACGTGAATGTGGTCCCAGTTGACTGAGATGACACTGGAATAGGTTGGTGAGACACTGTCCCAGGTTGGCCAGAGAAGCTGTGGCTGCTCCTCCCTGCAAGTGTTGAAGGCCAGGCTGGATGAGGCTTTGAGCAACCTGGTCTAGTGGAAGGTGTCCCTGCTGATGGCAGGGGGGTTGGAACTGGATGAGCTTGAAGGTCCCTTCCAACCCAAACCAGTCTGGGATTCGATGACAGATGACTGACAGAACTCGGAATTGCGAGTAATTTTGTGGAGTCTATTTCTTTAATCACAAGATCACTTAGTCACTCAAAAAATTGATTTACAGCTCCTCTTGATCTTTATCCTGCCTTAATGAAACCCATCAAATAAAAGGTTGGGAATAAAGAAAAGGAATAAAGTCCTGACCATAACAAGTACATAATATAATGCAAATTAATTCAGAAATAATTGCAAAGAAGAAGACAAAGCGTTATTGCTAATGGTGGCTTCCTAGTTCAGTCTGAGATTCAGCATTCATTTGTCTCAGCAGTCACCGTTACAAGTCAAGGAGAACAAAGTAAAGTAGATTCACAAAGGCAGGATGGTCAGGCTGAAGGAAATAAGAATTCACTAAATCTCACTGTAAATCAATTCATAGCTGCTCTGAAAACTCTTTTCCTGCCACTGAATAAGGAGCAAACAGCACTTTCTGAAGCTTCAAACATTTCACACCTTTCTAAGAATTACAGTTTGGAGTTAAAATCCTACATCGTACCAGCAACATTTTAATAACAATAACATCAGGCTGGGACTTACCCTCCTCACAGCAAAGAGCAAGTCAGAAGAAGTGGTTAGAGCAGCCCAGAACTGCCAGCGCTTTTATACCTTTTCTTAGGCAACCAGGAGGATATGAAACATTCTTCATGTATGATGTTCTCATGCATTAGCAAACAAAAATTCACTCCACCTGCAACTGGCCCAGATAATGCAACGATTTTACTCAGCCATGGCGATCACTATTGTGTTCTTGCCATTACTCTGACACAGCAATTTTAATTTTTTTAATTTTTTTAATTGCTTTTTCCTATTTCTTTGATTACCTCATGGAGTAAAGATTGCTCAGAAGTTTCTCCATAAACCCAATATGCTGACACATCTGAGATACTACCCCATTTTTCCCAGTCATCCTCCAGTTAAGGGGTCATTGTGCAATTTACTCCATCGTACCCACGCGCCTTAATTCCTATGACTCTGCTGTGAGGCACATTAAATTCTGTAGACACCTTCCTACTGACTTAGAGGTTTGGAAATGGGAAGTGTTTGTTCCTGTCCTCCTAGTCAAGAAACAAACACAAAGCACATGTCCCACTTCAAGATTGAAAAGTACAGGTGGAGTAACCTATAAGCAGGGAGTTGCTCTTATCCAGCTTGGGCATATGGGAGACAGGACCCTCAGACAGTGAGAAATTCATGTCCAGTTTTCATTGTCAGGGAGTCGATGGGATCATTACTGAAGACCTCAGGGTTCCTGAGTGATGAACGAATCATGCTTAGGGTTGAAACGAGTCAGGGAGTGAAGCCATGCATCACCCAAAGAAAACCTTGGGCTGGAATCTTAAAGTGCAGTTTCAGCTGATGTGGAAGATTGGTTGCTCACTTCAGCAGATTTCTTCCTCAGATCCAGGACCCTCTTTAGTTATTTCCTGATAAAACTCTTCTCAGCAGCATCTATTTTGTGTATCCAAAGTGACATAATTTACGAATGCTTTTTCAACCTCAAGAAGATGAGTTCTTCTCCTCTAAAATCCATCCCCTCTAGAGAATTGATGGTTCAATGCCTGGTTTTGAGTAACCTTGAGATTTCTGTTCCAAAATGTTAATTTTATTCCAGTTTGTCCATCAGCAGTTGGTACCTGTTACCAATACTGCAGTGTCATGCTGTGCAAGAAAGCTGAGGAAACCTCTTCTCTGGGCCCACCTTGGGATTTCCCTCAGTGTTGTTTCCTAGTGATGCCTGAGGAGACACCCTTGAAGCTACTCATAGTTTACGGCAGATGATTCACATAAACAAGAAACAGAGATAGAAACAAAGGGAAGAAGATGTGAGGAAACAACCCACCTGCTCTGGCCCTCCTGCCTCAACCACACCTGGTTTCACTTCAGAAGCAAGTGATGATGTAGACCTATAGATACCTACAGATGAATCACATAATTCTTGGAGATACATCCCTCTTCTAACCTTCCTGCCCTCCTGATGGAAGCTACTACTGCTGACAGCTCAAACTGCTTCTTTTGAGACATGATGTTCAGGGTTACAACCACGTGCTTTGCTTTTACGATTTTGCAGACTCACAAATCAGCATCTTAATGGTTTTTGGTTGTTTTTTTTTTCTCATATAATGGAAGTTTCATGCACTTTAATGACTTGAAGCTTTCACAGTCGTTTTTGCCACTGCAAATATGGTAGAGTAAAATATTTAGAGATGAATAGCTCCATGAAAAGCAAATTTAATGTGACAAATTGGCTACCTTTGCGTGGATTCCTTGTATGACAAGAGACGATACCGCTGTGGCACGTACGGATCCACCATCAATAAATTGGCATAAAATATTTTTATCTCTATCAAGCATCTAATTTTATTCTAACACCACCAAAAAAGACATTCAAATGGATCTACAAAAACTTCCATGAGTTGATTTTAATGGTGAGATACTGGAATACGTTGGTAAGATACTGGCCCAGGTTGCCCAGAGAAGTTGTGGCTGCTTCTCCCTGGAAGTGTTGAAGGCCAGGTTGGATGAGGCTTTGAGCAACCTGGTCTAGTGGAAGGTGTCCCTGCTGATGGCAGGAGGGTTGGAACTGGATGAGCTTTAAGGTCCCTTCCTAACCTCAACCAAACTCTGCTCAGGATGCCCAGGTATTTCTGTGCAATTCTTCCAAGCCCATGGTGGTCAGCTTTGGAGTCATCCATCCAAGAGTGCATCTCATACAATATGGGTAGGAATTTGTCTCAGCTGGTCACGTAGCACACCCAGGTCATACTGGTGTGTCTACTACACCCTAAGAGGAGTTGAATACAGAACATGAGTGGATGAACCATCTGAGAGAAGGAGAATGCGATGAAAAAGGAGTAACTGCCAACAAGGAGGGGTTGAGTAGCACGTTCTGTTTGAGAAACAGTATTTCTAAGTTCTTAAATAATATTTATGTCTTGGTACATCTGTACTTCTGCATGACTGCTGTTGATGTGGAGACATTAAACTCTGTTGGTAGAATAACCACAAAACCTGGCTGGAACTGTAAAATAAATATAAATAGGGATTCTGCAAGACTCAGCACTGCGCTCTTGTGGCTTAGCTGCGAGCGTGACTCAAGCTGAGTACATCAGAGTTATCTTAGACATCTCTAGACGAGGTGAATTCATGTCTCTGAGCTGAAGTGTTGGTATACCCTCAACTTGTCTCGAAAACTGTGGTGTCATTTCCAGATCAGAATTACTGATGTTTATCTGGGACCTCCTGAGAAAACATTGCTATCAGGATGAAAGTGTCTTTTGGTGGAGGTGGTTGGTTGTTTCTGAGATGACACCGAACTCACCCCAGCTTCCTTGGAAGCAGAGAGGTTCTCCAGTTTTATCACCAGCATTTTTATGATGACACTAACCATGTCAGATACTGATTATGGTTCCAGTTGCTGAGAAGGAGGAATTACGCATTGCAGAGGACAAATCCTGACCCTTTGCATGTAGGTGCATTTCTAATCACCAGCTAATGAAGGGATGGAAGGGAGAGAGGTGTGAAGAGATGATGGAATAAAACAAAAGGAGAATGCTGATATTAGGATGCAGGCACTATTTTTATTAGGAACAATAAATGGCATTTACAGTAATGACAAAGCAAAAATAAATGGAAGGAGTGTTTCCAGTTTCTCAGACCCTGATTGCAAATAATTTGTCAACAAGGAACGAATGTTTCACACAAGCTGCTCTTCATTCCTGATGGCCAATCTAATTTTGCCAAGCAAGTCCTGCTTTGCAGCATGCAGGAAGGGTTTGTTGAGGACAAAAACCTAACACGTAGGAGAACAAAGAAACTCCCCTCGTAGAACTTTTGTTACATCTTCTAGGCTGAACATAAAGACAGAAAACCAGTAGTTGAGTCCACAGAAAGGTTAAGGTACCAATAAGCCAATTTCTCACCCATATTGTTAGAATGGAAAACACACATTTTTGGGAAACCAGTGCAAGTGTAGAGCAACAACATCACAAGCAAAAAGAGAATGAGAAGGACCAGCAGAAGAGCAGTTCCCATGAGTGATAAGCAGCACCCATGGGTGATGAGCAGCAGGTCCCAATGGATTAGCTGGGAGTCATGGGTGCCCAGGTCTTTGCAGAGCTTCACAGCTCAGTTGCACGTCCAGGTCTTGCTGTCAGTTCTCCTGCTGTTTCTCCTGCCGTCCACACCTTCTGCCATGCTTAGCATGGCCCACAGCCCCCATAGCGCTGGCTCCAGTGCTCACTGGACAAGGAGGATGAGGAGGACAAGAAGCCCCCATAGACAAGAGAGCCCTGCAGACCCCTGGGCCGGCCCAGCCCCAGTGGGGCTGAGCTGCCCACAATGCTCTCCTGAGGGCAGGAGCTGAGGATGGGACCCGGGAAGGTGATGACCACAGGTGGTGGGTAGATGACGGCACGGGAGTCCCCACAGGAGGTGACACAGGGCTGGTTGCAGGCGTTGGCGTACGGCTGTGGGCAGGTCACCTCACAGGGTGGGAAACAGCGGGAGCTGAGCTGCTGGCTGGAGAAGGACATCCTGTGGGCAAGGAGATGAACCTGCAACACATCAAGGTGCCAAGATCAACCCACCACTAACCCCCCTTCTCTGCCTCACCAGCAGCAAGTAGGGCTCAGGACGTGCCACGTGGAGTTGGTCTGTGATGGATCAGCTGCCTTTTTCTCTCTCTTTCTCTTCTCCC